TCATCAGGCTCTCTGTCTATCAGATCTAGTCCCTTAAATCTATTTCTCACTTCCACTGTATAGTCATAAGGGATTTGATTTAGGTCATACCTGAATGGTCTAGTGGTTTTCCCTACTTTCTTCAGTTTAAGTCTGAATTTGGCAATAAGGAGTTCATGATCTGAGCCACAGTCAGCTCCCGGTCTTGTTTTTGCTGTCTGTATAGAGCTTCTTCATCTTTGGCTGCAAAGAATATAATCAATCTGATTTCGGTGTTGACCATCTGGTGATGTCCATGTGGAGAGTCTTCTCTTGTGTTGTTGGAAGAGGGTGTTTGCTGTGACCAGTGCATTCTCTTGGCAAAACTCTATGAGCCTTTGCCCTGTTTCATTCCGTACTCCAAGGCCAAATGTGCCTGTTACTCCAGGTGTTTCTTGACTTCCTACTTTGCACATAGTTTGTAACAAATACTTTAGAATGAAAATAAACCAAAACACCCAGAGGGGTGGCTTCCTGAGAGACTAGGACCTGAGAGGGAAGTGAAAACAAAAAAGCTCAGGAGGAGGGCAGTCACTGCCTGGGCTCAGGCTGCCCACTCAGGCCTCCCCTCTCGCTGCAAAACAGAGCCTGGGAGAGGCATGGGTCTGCCTGGCCACCACCAGCAGGCACGGGCCACGGCGGGAGTGGGCCCTCAGGCAGTGCACTGGCAGTCACATGACCGCCCCTTGGCCTTGCAGCAATGTAACTCTGCCCAGAGACCCCCAGCTTCTTGCATCAGCCAGAGCTGAGTTGGGGAGCCTGTGTTTACATGAACAGCCTCTGCCCCTGCCCAGGGAACTGCCTTCTCAGCACGACTGTGTGAGGGACACTGGACCACTGCTGCCTCACATTGCTCACGTGTTGAGCACCAGTGGTGTGCCAAGCTTTGTGCTGGATGCTGTGGCTTCAGAGCTGAAAGTTACCTTACTTGCCCTCATGGCATTTGCTGTCTATTGGGGTTATGGTGAGTCAGCAGTGTTGTGCAGAAGATAACTTCTGTGTTACAGGAAACTTCAGACCACTATCAGCTTAAAAGAAGCAGCAGCTACTTCTAGGAAAATTGCTGTTGTTCAGGCGCTCAGTTGTGTCCAACTCTTTGTGACCCCATGAGCTGCAGCACTCTAGGCTTCCTTGTCCTTCGCTATATCTCTCAGAGTTTGCTCAAATTTATGTCCATTGAGTCAGTGATGCCATCCAACCATCTCATCCTCTGTTATCCCCTTCTCCTTCTGCTAGGACAGACTCAATTGAGTCCACCATGACTACATTGCCTTAAAGTCATTCACTCATTCAGCAGCATTTATTTGGGCACCTGTACATGCCAGGCATGGTCCTGAATTCTGGGAATATAAAGAAAAATCAGAAAACAGAGAGGATTATTACTCTGGCAAAAAAATGGGAGGGAAGCATTCTAGATAAGGAAACAGCACATGGGAAGATACGGAAAATAGAGCATCACCTTCTCTGCTCCCCAAGACAACCACAGGGCTTGGTGTGAGACCACCAATCCTTGATGCCACCCATATCAGAAATACTCACCCTTCACATTGGACCCCTGAAAACTCAGCCCAGGGTTCATCTCCTCCAGAATAACATCCTGGCTTTCTGCTCTGCTTTAGATGTTCCCACAGCACCCAGACTGAATTCTAGGCCAGCTCTGACCTGCCTGAGGACAGAGACCATGTCTTAGCTGGCTCCGTGTGCCACAGATAAATATTTATTGAAAGAATGAGTAACTGGGTGAGTGAATGAATCAGAGGAGAAGAGAATGAGATGACTGACTAGGCCNTTTTTTTTTTTTTTACAGTTTAAGATGCAATGAAACCTTAGAAAGTAGAGTATAAGCAGCCTCTCTTGATAAAGCCTGTATTTTATCTTATGAACATAGCCTATTCATTGCTATGGCCTGAATGTCTGTGTCCCACTCCAGTTCACATGTTGAAACCCTAACGCCCAGTGAGATGGTACTAGGAGGTGGGACCCTTGGGTGGTTAATGCTTGGGGCACGAACATGGAGCCCTCGAGAATAGGATGTGTGATCTTATGCAAGAGACCCCAGGGGGCTCCCTCGCCCCTTCTTCCCTGGGAGGATCCAGTAAGAAGTCTGCAGCCTGAAAGAGGACCCTCATCAGAGACTTTGGGCACCTTGACCTTGTTCCAGCCTCCAGAACTGTGAGAAATAAAGGCTTGTCATTTATAAGCCACTCTTTTTATGGCATTTTTATAGCCTGAACAGACTAAAATATTCAATAAGATTTCACACTCTGGGCCAAAAACCAGGCAACTAAGATGGCAGAGAGAATATTTAAAATCCTAATTCCAGCAGTTTGGGGGTGGGAAAAATGCCCAAACTCTTTGGGAACAACCCATATCCCTGATGACTCATTGGTAAAGAATCTGCCTACCAATGCAGGAGATGCAGGAGACTCAAGTTTGATCCCTGGGTTGGAAAGATCTCCTGGAGGAGGAAATGGCAACCCACTCCAGTATCCTTGCCTAGAAAATCCCATTGACAGAGGAGCGTGGCAGGCTACAGTCCACAGGGTCGCAAGGAGTCAAACAACTGAAGCAACTGAAGCAACATACAAAGAACCAGTGATCTAATAAGAGCCTTTTTCTCCTTTTCCAGAAAAGTCTTGAAGTGTCTTGTTGGCCTAGTGTACTAAGTAAAGGAAAGCCCACTAAGTAATTTAGAAATATTTTCCCATATAAACTGTTCAGTAAGTCAGCTGGATCTTAGCAGAAATCACAGTTCAGAGCTGACAGCGATTGTGCAGATAGATCATCAAGCCTAATTGGTTCCTACAGTTGAAGTTTTAACTGTGGTTTCAATGATCCAACATTTATAAAACCCATTTACTTTCTTCCGTGACCTCATGCTCTGCTTCATTATGCATTTGAAAGTTTCCATATCCAGCAGCTGTCTTCCTCTCTTCTCATACTCCTAGGAGGGAAAAAGAATAATTAGCTAGGAACAAGTTGCATTTTGTTTAGTCTGGGAGCAAGAGTCCAAAGAATGGAATGTCTAATTGGACCTACCTTGAACTCTGTCAATTTCTAACATGGTATCCCTTTTGTTCACTTCTCTGATGCATTCACAATTTGTTTCTAATTCCATTAAGAAGTGACAATTACAGAAAATTTATTCTTCGATGCTATTTTATAGGAATTAAAAGGATTGTACTTTTCACTGAAAAATCAACCATCAAAAAAAGAATCAGAAAGCTCACCTGCTCAGTTCCTACCTGAAAGAGTGCATTTAAGTGCTGTAGCTCTTCAAGGGTCACTTGATGTTAGATCTCATCAAAACAAAAAGAAAATAAATTAAAAACATATAATGCTAATAGGAAGGCCCATAAAATGCAATTTCTGGAAACCCGTGGTTCCTCTCTCTATGGGAGGCCAATAACTGAGCCTGTGAGTAACACTTAGGCTATTCCAACCTTCATTGTTTCAGTCTCTACTCCCATTCAGCTGACTCCTCAGCCCCTAGCTCTGGGGCAGGCTTGGCTCAACTGGGCCGGAAGGAAGAGGTGGCAAGGTGGTGGAAGGAAAGAAGACCACAGGCATTGACTTGGGGGAGAAAAGATCAGGAACTGGACTGATGCCAGAAAAGAAAGACTGAAAATATTTTGCCAGATCACATTCCAAAGATGCTCTTTTCCCTCTCGGGAGTCCAATGCATTAGAACTGCTTTGTGTCACATCCTCTGCCCCCCGGTCCATCTCATCTAGGCTGAACCAGGAAGAGACCCTGGGGGAACTGATCTCTGGCCCCTTTTTCTGGGGTAAATTCTCTGAAGCTATTGCCAGAGATTCTTGGTACTCCTGGTACTCCTGGTGTTAGGGAATTTCATTAACCTTCAGTAGGCCATCCTTAGGTCAATAAACAGACTCCCAGAGAATGCCTCTACCTCACCCTCCAGTCTTATAACTATTATCTCAACAGTTTGGCTGGGGCTTCCTGGTGGCTAAGACAGAAAAGAACCTGCCTGCAATGCAGGAGACCTGGGTTTGATCTCTGGATTGGGAAGATCCCCTGGAGAAGGGAATGGAAACCCAATCCAATATTTTGCCTGGAGAATTCCACGGAGAGAGGAGCCTGGTGGGTTACAGTCCATAGGTTCACAGAGTTTGGCCTTTATAAATAAAAATCCTTAAACTTCTGGCTTATAAAGAATGAATAAATTGTCATTGTGGGTAGAGCCAAACTAAGCTCTGATGTTCTTGTACTGTCTCACGAGGCCAGAGGAAGATAGCAAAGCAGAAAATCAGCATTTCCTTGATAGGATCATCTTCTGAAATCTCTTGATCACCTCAAGCTTCCAGGGTGGTGGCCTTTAGCATAAAACTCAGGCTGACACCAAAGCTACAGGAGATCCACCATCCTGTAAAATTGAGGCACCTGCCAAATTCTGTCTTAAATGACTCAATAATTACCTTTTAACTTGCTTTCACTGAGGAACAAAATTGGAAACCCAGCTCTAGAATGGGAAAACACTCCAGCTGTAGTTTCCACTTAAAATTTCCCTGTAAGGCTCTTCTGTCAAGACTGGAACCTGGGAGGTAATGTTTAAAAAAACTGACCAAGAGAAAGACCCTAACAGTATTCAAATACATGTAAAGGATGATTCCATCAAACTGAAGGGCTCTTTCTCTTCCCCAATAAAAGATATTACCCTGAATTAATTCATCACTTGCTTAGACTAAGCCTTCTCCAGCATCCACAAAAGCAGTGAGAGGGTACCAGGCTCACACACAGGGCCAAACAAGAAGATAGTGCCCTCGAAGAGCATGTGACTTCTAATCCTCCACCCCAGATGGGACTTCCAGGGGGTGAAACAATTTTTTAAAATGTGTTTACCTTTAATTGGAGGATAATTGCTTTACAATATTGTGGTGGTTTCAGCCATATATCTACTTGAACCAGCCATAGGTATATATATATATCCCCTCTCTCTTGAACTTCCCTCCCACCTCCCACCCCATCTTACCTATCTAGGTTGTTACAGAGCACTGGATATGAGCTCCCTGCATCATACAGCAATTTCCACTGGCTGTGTAGTTTTACATATGGTAATGTATATGTTTCAGGGCTACTCTCTCAATTCAGCCCATCCTCTCCTTCCCTGCCTGTGCCAAGTCTGTTTTCTATGTCTGCATCGCCGTTGCTGCCCGGCAGATAAGATTCATCAGTACCATCTTTCCAGATTCCATATATATGCATTAATATACAATATTGGTCTTTCTCTTTCTGACTTCCTTCACTCTGCATCATAGGCTCTAGGTTCATCTACCTCACTAGCACTAACTCAAATATATTCCTTTTTATGGCTGAGTAATATTCCCTTGTATATATATACCACAGCTTATTTATACATTCATCTGTTGATAGACATCTAGGTTGCTTCTATGTCCTAGCTATTGAAAATAGTGCTATGATGAACAGTGGGGTATATGTGCCTTTTGCATGAAACAATTTTTATTAAAGATTTGAAAATTATTCTGCATAAGGTTGGAATATTATGGGAAAAACATGAGATTATTTAAAATTTTCATATTGAATTCTCTAAGCCATTACAATTGTATTTAAGATACAATATACTTTATGAGTCTATATGTTACATAAGACATTTATTCTCAAATTTATAATCCTAAAAACATATTCCTAGAAAGTGGTAGCTCTAGATTTGTACACAGCAATCAAAACATATTGCAGATATGTTATCCTTACTGCATAACTTCTATCTTTCTAGTGCTCCTGAATATTTTTTCTCCCGAGATTCAAAATTTCCTGAAATCTATACCATAATCATGATCTATCCACTAACCACTTTATTATGTGAAATTGGCCTTTCATCTTTTTCTGCCTCCATTACTGAAAAAGAACAAATAACAAAAAATTGCCTCCTTCCCAGGAGGGGGCTCCCCAATCCAGAGAGAGACTAATTCATCTTCTCATCTTAAATTTACTAGAAATGCTTCTGAGAAAATAAAGTGAATGCCATCATTAGTAATAGTAATGAAGGGTATGAAATCAAAGCTGGTGATTATATAATTTATAAAAGGTTTTACAGCAATTTTCAATTAAGTATAAAATGTGACTGAAAAGCCTTGCTTTCCCCCTTCATAACTTCTCCCCAGAGCCATCCCTCCATCTCCCCAAAATGTCCTACTCACCCTGCCTCCTACTTACTCTCCTGACACACCTACAGCCTCTGGTAACTTCCAAGGCTTGCTCTTTGTTATCCTGGTCATTCCATTCCATCTTTGCTTCCTGGTCACAAATACACATGCTTCCTGCCTCCCTTCTCCCACTGTCCACAAAAATAAGGAAGTGAATGAACACTCTAACCACAGAAGATTTTTCAGGGTGGCAGTACCAAATGATGTTCACTGAATTTCCATTGCATTTAAGAAGTCAGTTCTTAAATCTCACAGACCTCATCAAATTTTCATACGTCATGACCGAGAGCAAAGACCCAGTGATCATGAGCCAACTTCTTTTGAAAAGGCAGCAATAGAAATACAGCTACAAAACAGAGCCATTATTGTGTTTTTCCTTGAAAATATAAATCAGGCCTTCACTTAATTGCATGTTTTTAAGGCAGATTTGGAACACAAAGCAGAGAAAACATATGTCCCTTCTGGGTACTCCTGTGCTTGGCAGGGCTTGAAAATTTGTAACTGCCATTGACAGCCAGTCGCATTGTATCACTAAAAAGCTTGAATGACTTGTTTTCCTACAAATAAAAACAGAGAAAAGCCGGACTATTTTATTTCCAAACTATCATAGCTATAGTGACGACCATAAATAACTCAGTCCATAATTGTGTAGTCTAGTTTTAAACATATTATCTATTGCCCAGCAATGCATTTTGGTGTATACATATGCAATTTCAGAGAGAGCTACCTGGATAATTCTCTAAGATCCTGTACTGGGGAGGATTCATGGAGCTCTGATTCTGTTTGTCCTTACACTGCAGTCTCCCCAAAGCAAGCAGTTTTTATGATAAGAGTGGCTTTCCCATAAGGATTCATTTGCCTGCTGGTTGCTCATTTGCAATGCAAATCAGCACTCCTATTGTTCCACCCCAGCAGCTCATTGCTTCTCACTGGAGAGTCTCCTCAGTCTGGATGGTTTAGGGGTAATTTCACTTCTACGACAAGGGAATTGACTAATTAATCGAATAAAGTATCCTTTTGAAAATCTGTTCCTTGAGTTGCTGTCTCTATAGCTTCAGAAAACAGACAGTTACAATCCTGTAGTCTTAAGATTCTAAAGGAGATGGTAATTGCAGAAGATTTGAGTTTTCCAGGTTGAAATTTAGGGGCTCCCATGGTAGAAGGTCCTAAGGAAGAGGAAACAGCGGGGCTATAGGGCATTCTCCAGGGAGCCTACTTTGTGATTGCAGTCTTTTTCTTGTGTGACACAAGATCATAACCATGGGAAGAAGAGTTAAAAAAAAAAAAAAAGGCCTGTGTGATTCTGCTAGAAACTTTAAAATCCACAATAAACTGAGGCTTAAAAAAAAAAAAAACTGTCTTTTTAGCCATTTAAGGAGCAGGAAATCAATCCTGAATATTCATTGGAAGGACTGATGAAGCCGGAGCTCCAATATTTTGGCCACCTGATGTGAAGAGCCAACTCACTGGAACAGACGCTGATGCTGGAAAAGATTGAGGGCAGGAGGAGAAGGAGGTGACAGGATGAGCTGGTTGGACAGCATCACTCCATTCAGTGGACAAGAGTCGGAGCGAACTCCAGGAGAGAGCAGGGGACAGGGAAGCCTGGCTTGCTGCTGTCCATGGGGTCTCAGAGTCGAACATGGCTGAACAACTGAACAACTACAAAAAGGAGCAGGAAGATTAGAAAGTGGCATCCACTTTAATTAATGTAGCCTTAGGCAGCACTGCCACTAACATCTAACCTTCACTGAGCTTATTATGTGCCAGTTGCTGGGTACTTTACATGCATGTTTTGCATTCATCTTCGTAACAACTCTGTGAGAGAGATAGTAGTATGATCCCCATTTTATAGATCAGGAAACTAAGGCACAGGGAGGTCAGTTAACTTTCCTGGCTCCCTACAATGAGCAATGCTGGCACCAGGACTTGGTACCAGCTTTCTTTTCTGTTGCCCCACCTCTGCCCATGGTCCCTGGCCAGCTCCCAAGAGAACACAGGCAGATGGGTAGGCGGGAGGGGCATGGACTTCCAGACCTCTAATGGCCACCATCACTCACGTCTCTTCTCCACAGAGTCTAAAAATCAGAGTGCATTGTTTCAACCCAAGTGACTGGTCTCGTAAAAGTGAACTTCAAATTCCTCTTTACTTGGAGTTACTTTTACTTTACTTGGAGGTATTATACGTTATAAGGCTAAAAGTATGGTGACATTTGAAGAGTCAAATCTCCTCCTTCCTTCAGTATTAAAGACTTCCTACCACAGGGATGTTCTACAGCTTATACAAGCTTTTAAGAGATCCAAATTTGTTGCAAGGAGCAGCCCAAGCATTTCCCAGTTTGCTTTTGTAAATTAATCTAAAATGAATACTTTGCTGCTTTCCCAGCTGCTTGGGTAGATTCTATGGCCTCTTAGTGGTTAAAAAATAGAGAAGAGAAATGCTTCTGCCAGCCTTAGCAAATCAGAATGGCAAAGCTGACCTTGCACGTGCACCCAGAGCAGATCAGCTGCAGCAGTCGAGTACTCTGTTGAGAAGGATTCTGAGGCTCTCAGCAGGGAAAAGCCAAGATGGATTTGCTCTGTTTGCCACGAGCATTGGAGGGAGGAGTGAGAACACAAACAACAAGCAACAAAGCTGAACTAAGAACAAGGCGATGGAGAAAGAGACAGAGAAGGACTGAGCCGGAAAGGGTCTTAGAACCCCAACAGCCACCTGTCTTCCTTACAGTGGGGAAGCTGAGGATGGGAAAAGACGGTTCACCAAGGAAGTCCACGGTAGAGCTGAAAAACTCTTCATCTCCTGTATCCAAGGCCAGTACTCTATGAGCAACTCTGGTTCTTCTAGTTTTAACACAAATTAAAAATAGCCGCTGGGTGCCTGTTTTCCCACAACTCATTTAAATATGTGTCATTGAAGCCATGCCTCTTACTTTGAAGTGGCAGTATCCAACATGCTCCTACACCGCCTGGACTGTGCACCAGCCCACACAGACTTCGCACCAGGAGCTCCAGAGCCTGTCACTATTCTCAGACAGTGACAGGGAGCCTCAGGCCTCAGAGGCAGCCGCCTGGCCACAAGTAGTATGGCCTGGGTCACTGCAGGCTCCAAACTGGCTATTCCAGTCGGCAAGGAGCATCACCCGGCTGGCTGCAGTCAGTGAAAAACTCACCCTTAACCAGGAAATGTCCCACAACCTCTGACAATGCCTGAGACTTCCTCACAGAAGCCTGGAAGACTGGCTTTGATGGGCAAAGTGAAGGTGCAAGTAGAACCTGTATGGCTGAACAGACTTGAGAGGTGACCAGAAATAGACTGTTGGTGAAGGTCCTCACCAGCTGAAAGTCTTATCATGCGTGCATGCTTAGTCACTCAATCATGACTGACTCTTTGTGACCCTTTGGACTATAACCCATCAGGCTCCTCTGTCCATGGGGTTTTTCAGGCAAGAATACTGGAGTGGTTGCCATTTTCCTCCTCTGAGAGATCTTCCTGACCCAGGGATCGAACCCAAGTCTCCAGTGTCTCCTGCACTGCAGGTGACATCACATGGGGAAGTCTAATCACACGGGGTCAACTTGTTTCAGACTTTTCTGATCCATTTGACATCATGACTCAGTGCACACTTAGGTAACAAAAGTTTCACAATGCACGACTTGTGTTTATTCAGAAGATGCACTCTGATATTATTATCTGTCATTATTTTAGATGCCAGCCATATTCCAGCAAATCAGTCTCCTAACCCATCAACTACTCTTGCCCTCACTATGACGATCCATACTCTGAGGAAAGCTTCTTCTGATATATTATCTGCATAGGTCACAACATCGAAAAGAACAAAACTGAATTTTTCCCCCCACCACGCTGCTTAGGGGATCTTAGTTCCCCAATCAGGGATTGAACTCAGGTCCTTGGCAGTGAGAGTTCAAAGTCTTGACAACTGGATTGCCAGGGAAGTCCCTAATTTTTAACTCCTTATCATCCATTTCCAACCTCACTGTCCAGCATTCATCCCATTCCTGCTCCTCAGACCCTGTTTACTTTAATCACTTGTGTGGCTTAGTGTGCAGTTTCCTCTATGTGGGGTGGCCTCCACTTCATATAATATTTGAAAAACTCAGAGATCCTTGATGGCCCATCTCATATGACACTTCCTTCCGGAAGCCTTCCTTATCCCCAAAGCCAGAAGAATGTCCCCCTCCCTTTGGATGGGGTACATGCCTTTGGATACACATCTTTCTCTATTATTGAGCTTCTGTTTCCTAACAATTAGTCATGAGTCTATCACCTGCACAGATTCTTGTCATTTCTTTTAATATTTTTCTTTAAATAGACTTGTACATACTACCTTCTTTAGCCTCATCCTAAACAACAGTAATCATGAAATCATCGATTTGCTGTGCTTGTTAGATTTCCAGAGAACATTAACATAAATATCTATTATTAAAATTTTAAATATCTCATTTTTCCTTTGAGGAAAAACCGTGCTGGTTGTGTGAAGTCTTGAGGGGCTGTATTTTGTTTAAATTGGAGTTTTTCTCTAGGGCTGGGTATGTGCTATTGCTCCATAAATATTTGCCGAATTAAACTCAAATGAAATGGATTAAATGGAATTTATTCATACTCTTAACATATTAGCATGAATCTGGAGAGGCAGTTGTGACTGTGGAAAGCAAAGAATGAGACTGGAAAGGAATTGGACCTAGGAAGGAAAACACTGATAGACAGGGAAAAGGGCAGGGAAAGAGACATGGAGAGGCTGGCCCCAACCAGTTATAGTGATGCTCCCCAAGGTGTGTGCCTGCCCCGAGGGCCAGCTAAGGCCCAGTGAACAGGGGGCAGGTCCAGATGGGTCTTCCGTGGGAGGAAGCCACAGCATCCCCTATATGGACCCCAACTTTAAACAGCGTCACTGGCCGCGGGCCCTAGGGGATTCCAGCCCTGTCCCCAGCCTTGCCCCAGAGCCCGCCTGGCCTACCAAGGCCATCCGCTCACCGCCCCCTCACCTTTTCTGCCCGCAGGCTCCCCTCCAGATCTGCGTGGGGAGGCAGCATCCTTCGCTGGGCTGGGTCCTCGGTTCCCACCAAGTAGCTGCGCGTCCTCTGCCTGGTGAGGCAGGCCCGTAGCAACCAGGATGGGGCATCTGCATTCTGCCGGCCCTATTCCCCTGAAGGCCGAGGTCCCGCGGGACAGGTCTGAGCCCAAAGCATGACTGGCTCCCCCAGGATGGCAGCTTCAGTCAGGATGCTGGCCCGATCCCATCCCCAGACACAGGCCCATCAGTCCAAGTCTGGTCAGGAGCCTGGGTCCCACTCCACCCATGCCGCCCTGTCACTCTGGGTCTCCTCTTTTGAGAAGCCACATCCTTAGAGGAGGACCCAGAGCGGGGAAAGGACTTTAGGGGGTGGAGGCAGGGTCTCTGCCTTCATGTGTTACTGAAACACACGTCTCTGTACCCTGCGACCTAGTGGGGCCAAAAGATACGGAAATGTCTGCTTTTGGTGCAGAGTAAGATTTAGTGTAGGGGGCCCGAGGAGACAGGTGGCTCAGCTCTCAAACCCCAGACTCCCCAAAAGCTCTCAGCAGAGCCCTTTTCTAGGAAAGGGGAGGAAGGGGCATGATGAGGTGTTTAAACTCCTTGGTGTAGTGGAGCCTTTCCCAAGGTCAAGTCCTGGTCAGGTAATGATGTTCCTGTAAATCTATACTAAACAAGTGTTATTCCTGGTTCTGAGAAGAAACGACCAGGCCCTCAGGCACGACAGGCATGACTTTCATCCTCTGAGGTCTCGTCCTGGCTTGGAGAGGAGGCAGAGCTCAGCTGGCGGCTCCCTCAGGGCCAGATCCCCAGACCCTGACCAAACAGCATCCATGAAGGAGCGAGATGCCCGGGACACAGCCCTCTCACAGGCTCCTAAGGCTGCCCAGAGGCAGGGGCCAATTCCGCAGACCGCGTTCTATTCAAACGGTGGCTTCCATGAGGTGGCAAGGGCGGGGATGGGGGATGCCACCTCAGGGCCTGGGCCTGGCCAGTGGGCGGCCTTGGTGAGGGCTCTGGAGCCCTGCAGAACACAGCCTTCAGCCTGTTTCCTGGGCCACCCTGTTCACCCACTGGCCCTAGGCAGGGTGAGCCCTGGGAGAAGTCAGGATCCGTCTCTAACTTCACTCTTAGCCTGAGGACCGCCACTTTGCCTACAGCTGATTGACTAGGCCACTAACAGTTGCTCACTGACAGTTTTTTGTGGGAGGGGCCCACTGTGGTACTGACCAATGACTGAGCAGGACCACTAACGGTTGCTCACTAACAGTTGGTCGCTTGTGGGAGGGGCCACTGTGGCACCAACCAATGGTTGAGCAGGGCCACTAAGGGTACCGGGCTGTAAGGTAATAGCCAACAGCAATGGCTGCATGCTAAGGGCTGCATTCCACAGGACTCTGTTACACATCGACCAAGACAGAAGGCAGCAAGCCTTTACCACACTACTTTAAGAAAAAGAGAGAGAGAGAGGGAGAGAGAGACCCCAGTAAGCCCTAGAACTACTAGTTTCTTAAATGTTTTCAGTTCTGAACAGGCAATATATATAACAAGTAAACAGTAAACTAAGACAAAAACATGGATGTTAACGATTGTAATTAAATAAAACTTACAACAAAATGAATCTGTCATGATAATTTTTATTGTAGTGCATGGTAATTAGATATAAATGGCAAGTTGTTTAAGCAATGATTCTAATTGCTATTAATTTGACAACACTGTTTTGGGGCTGCTCAGGAAAGCCCCAAAGGTGCCTGGGATGACTGCTTTTTCCATGTTTCCATCTTAGGGAAATAAAAGCAGTAACAGATTTGAGATTAAAAAAAAAAAAAAACTACTTTGCCCTTCTGTATTTGTACTCAGAGTAGTACTTTCTAGACTCTTGCTTAAATTTCCTTGATTTAAAGATCTTGCTTATTGGATTTTTTTTTTTAAATATAGATGTTAGGGAGAAGCTCATCACTTTGGTTGCCAACTAAGGCAAAAGGAGTTTATAATCTCAAGCTAGAGTCAAGATTGCTGGGAGAAATATCAGTAACCTCAGATATGCAGATGACACCACTCTTATGGCAGAAAACGAAGAAGAGCTAAAGAGCCTCTTGATGAAAGTGAAAGAGGAGAGTGAAAAAGTTGGCTTAAAACTCAACTTTCAGAAAACTAAGATCATGGCATCCGGTCCAAACATCTCATGGCAAATAGATGGGGAAACAGTGGAAGCCGTACAGACTTTATTTTGGGGGGCTCCAAAATCACTGTGGATGGTGACTGCAGCCATGAAATAAAGACGCTTGCTCCTTGGAAGAAAAGTTATGATCAACCTAGACAGCTTTTTAAAAAGCAGAGATATTACTTTGCCAACAAGTCCGTCTTGTCAAAACTATGGTTTTTCCAGTAGTCATTTATGGATGAGAGTTGGACTATAAAGAAAGCTGAGCACTGAAGAATTGATGCTTTTGAAATATGGGGTTGGATAAGACTTTTGAGAGTCTCTTGGACTGCAAGGAGATCCAACCAGTCCATCCTAAAGGAAATCAGTCCTGAATATTCATTGGAAGGACTGATGTTGAAGCTGAAACTCCAATACTTTGGCCACCTGATGCAAAGAACTGACTCATTTGAAAAGACCCTGATGCTGGGCAAGATTGAAGGTGGGAGGAGAAGGGGACAACAGAGGATGAGATGGTTGGATGGCATCACCGACTCATTGGACATGAGTTTGAGTAAACCCGGGAGTTGGTGATGGACAGGGAGGCCTGGCATTCTGCAGTCCATGGGGTCGCAAAGAGTCGGACACAACTGAGTGACTGAAGTGAACTGAACTGAGCTTCAATTCATTGGGCCTGTATTTGGGCTCTGGGAAAAGGAACAAAAAGGTAGACTGGTTATCCTGTCAGAGGCCCAGCTGTAGGCTCTGCGGCAGACCATGGGTCTTCATCAGGGTTTAGGATTATTGGATGATTAAGAGGGCCCCCTTTCGGCATTCTGGAAGCTGCATGTAGGAATTGAGTCTTCAGAGACTGAAACTCTTTGAAGAATCTCTCACTCTTGGTGCCTTGAAATTTTATTCTATTGTGACCAGAAGAACATAAAATCTATTCTGGAGGAAAGACCCCTCTAATAATGGCAGGCCTTACCCAACAATGAGACTTTCTGGGGTCAGGTGAAGAGAAGGGCAGGGAGCTGGGATTGAAGTGAGTGGGGCAGGATTTGGGTGAATGGGAGAGGGGAGAAAGAGTAGGGATGGTTTTGTTTGGACCATGGAACATTTAAACAAAGCTCTTTGGATAACTAAAATGAGAGCATGAATCTCTGTAGGGTGAGGGGCTGAAGAGGATAGAAGAGGTTAGGATATGGAAGCATTGCAGACACACAACCTTTCTCTGGGATGGTAAAAGTATAGAAAAACAGCTCCATGGCTTATAATATTTAATTTCCCCAACTGAAAAAGTTGTGATTATAGTGCCCACCTCATAGAGTAAAAAGTAAAGTAAATATTATAATGTATGTCAAGTATTTAGAGCTGTGTAAGGCACACAGTAGGTGCTCCAGACAGCTTAGCTATTGTTGTGGTTATTAAGGCTGATCCTGCCTCATTCTATCCTACAAAATACTGATCAAATACTCTTGACACTCTTGCACACAGCTGATTAGATGAAGAGTGAAAGATGTCCATCAACCTGAGGACTGTTGAAAAGATGGGCTGGGTCAGTGTGAGTCTCTCTCTCAGTGTTTAACTAGGACTTTTGAAAAGGGTTCAGGAAATGGTGGGGAAAATGTTCAGAAAAGAGAGGCAGGACAGACAAAAGCACAGACAAGTGGAGTGAGCTGAAGTATGTGAGCAGGGAGGCTCCAGAATAGAGCTTTTGAGCTATTGCTCCCTGGCTCCCAAATACCCTCTGAGTCCAAGCCACTCCCGACTCTGTCCCATGAAGGCCCAGTTTAGAGATAGCTTCCCCCTTCTAAGATTTCCATGAGATTCCCTGTCATTGCATGTGTGTCCCCACCACAAAACCCCTTGGCTTGACTCACCTTGCAGGGATTTCTGTTTCTTCCAAAAAGTCAAATTGAAAGAACAAGTTGTCTTTGAATTGCAAAGAGTTGGACACATCTTAATGACTGAACAACTAGACAACAAATGGTGGCATAGTGGTATGAAACACTGCTTCATTTCTTCATCCATTCTCTTACTTTGATCTACTTTTGTTAAGTGCATGACCCGTACCAGACATTGAGCTAGATGTTGGAACCATTAACACAAAACAGAGGGCTGACAGAGAGCCAGTAATTTTAATACTCTGATAAGTGTCAAGTTTGTTGGAGCCCTGGCATTAAACAGAGAGGAAGCACTTAACTGTGGCTAGTCAGGGTAGGGAGGTGCTTCTCAAAGGAGAAGTCACCAAAAAGATAAGTATTAGTTTTCCTGGCAGACTAGAGGGACAGTGCCTTCCAGGAAAAGAGAGCAGATAAAATAACGGGTGTCAGCTCCTGACCCCTGTGCATGTAGTGTATGTCATGTTTAGGAGGCTGGAATTCGTCTTCAAGGAAATGAAAAGCCATCTCAACAAGCCTTTGAAGAAGAACCGTTCTCTCTGCAGCATGAAGGAGAGAGATTGGGAGGGATGGGGACGGTTTGCAGGAGTCTTGAAGAGAACTGCTGAAGTCTGAACCAAGACAGCAGTGGGAATGGAGATGTGCAATGGGGGTTGCTAACAGACTTCCATGACTCTGGAGGCTGGGGGAGATGGGACCAGGATTCTGGATGACAAGAATGGGAAGAGGCTATCAGGAAAACAGAAAGGAAAAATGACCCACAATTTGAGATAAATCATTCCACTGGGGGCATATTGAATTGAAGCTCCTGTTGAAATATCCAGGGAGAGAGGTCCAACCAGCAATTAGAAATGGAGGTCAGGGACACAGAAGAGGTCTGGACACATCACCACAGGGGTCACTGTAGGGTGAGGGGCCCAGGGAAGACCTGGGTGGAGGGCGCCTGTTCTCATGCAAAAATGTGAGTGTCACTGAAGCCCACGTGCCCAGGGAGTGATATCAGTTCAAGGTTAGTAATGCAGAGGAGATCGTGCACACAGCTTAACAAGGGCTCCGAACTTGGGGCTGATAATAGGAAAATTAAGGGCAGAGGATTTAAGAATGAGGGAGATTCAAGCAAGGGGCAAACTCTGGAGCCAGACCTCCACGCTCACCCAGTGAGGTTTGGGAGGCGGAGGTGAGAGTCCCTCTGTTTCTAAAGACCCAGGGCAGCCCTCACCGGCTGCAGAATCTCTCCTCCTGTCTCCTGGTTCCAGTCTGCCGGACACGGCTCCTGCTTAGTTTCCTCGGAATGACCCCACCTTTGAACCAGCCTCAGAGCCCGATCCTTTATGATTCTTTCTACTCCGCTTTCCTGGAAACAAGCACCGTTTGACAGACTGCTCAAACTCAGAAGCTGAGTCACTGTTTTCCTCTTTCTCCCTCCCCATCCCGTCACCAAGTCAATCTGTGCTCCTGTTACTCTCTGTTATCCTGACCCCACCCCGGCTGATGTCTGGGTCTCCCTGGCTTTCCCTGCGCTCATCCCGACCCTTCTGGATTCCAGACCCACTTTCCTGCAGCCTTCCCTTCTCACCGCGTCCCTTTGCTTGAAGCCCAGTGGCCCCCCACTGCCCCACACCTGCCACTCTCTGGTTTTCTGACCTTGGACAAATCATTTAACTTCTGTGACTTTAATTTTTGTGTTGGTAAAGTGAGGTAGTCGGTCTTTTTATGATTTCTCTGCTGCACTTTGAAGACTCTCCTCATCTCACAACTGTTAGGATTATCAAAAAGACACGAGATAACAAGTGCTGGCAAGTAAGTGGAGAAAAGGGAACACTTGTGTTTTCTTGGTGGGAATGTAAACTGGTATAGCCACTATGAAAAATAGTATAGTGGTTCCTCAAAAAAGGAAAAATAGAGTGAACCAGCAATTCCACTTCTGGAATATATATACCCAAAGGAAATAAATCATTGTCTCAAAGAGATCCTAGTTGACAGCAGCACTGGTCACTATAGCCAAGATACGAAAACAACCTAAGTGTTGATGGATGAATGGATAAAGAAAACATTATATATATATATAAAATATATATTTATGTACATACATAGATATTATATCTTTTTAATAGAATATTATTCAGCCTTAAAAAAGAATGAAATCTTGTCATTTGCAACTACATGAATGATGAAACCGGAGGGCATCATGCTAAGTGAAATAAGCCTTACTGAGAACGATAAATACTGCATGGTGTCAATTCCATGTAGAATCTAAAAACAAAAGTCAAACTCATGAAAATGGAGAGCAGAGTGGTGGTGGTTACCAGGGGCTGGGGGTGAGGAAATAGGCAGAGGTTGATCAAATGGTGTGAACTTTCCATTATAAGGTGAATGAGATCTGAGGATCTAATGGAAAACCTGGTGACTGCAGTTGTTGACACTGTATTGTAATTAACATAACTGAAACTTGTTCAGAGAGAATAACTTAAATGCTCTCACCAAAAAAGGATAAGAAAAAGGTCTCTGCTGGTGGGTTCCCATCCCAATTCACACAAGCCCTGAGGCTTCCAGGTCTCTGCACAGTCCAGGAACACCCGGTGCTAGGCTCATCTAAGACCTTCAGCTCACACTGTTCCTAACTGAGGCACTTCCCCCACAGTGGCAGGAGTGTAAACTGGGGTCTCTTCACAGTGTGAAGAGACGAGAAGTCAGCTGTCCATGAACCAGGAAGAGAACCCTCAGCCAAGACCTACCATGCCTGAGCGTCCAGTCTCCACAACTGTGAAAAATGAATGTTTGTTGTTGAAGCCGTCCAGTTGATGGTATTTTGCTATGGCAGCCCAGGCTGACTAAGGCTGCGTTGACAATGAATTTAGGTTTTATGTTGCCGTATTTGGGCTTCCCTGGTGGCTCAGATGGTAAAGAATCCACCTGCAATGCAGAAGATCTGGGTTCAATCCCTGGGTTGGGAAGATCCCCTGGAGAAGGGAACAGCTACCCACTCCAGTATTCTGACCTGGAGAATTCCAT